CTGCCCCCACCCCCCATCTCCCCTCAACACTGCTTCTACCCTCTTATCCCCCACCACTTACTTTTGCTTTGGTGCAGGCAGGCTCCATCTGTATTGTGCTCCTCAGGGTGCAACATGGACAGAGCCTGCTGGCATGGAGCAAAGGTAAGTGGGGGAAGGTGCAAGTAGGGGTAAAGGTTTCAGGGGAAGGGAAGATGGGGAGAAGGAGGGCTGGGGGCCTCAGGCTCTAGGGGGCAAGCACAAGGGAGGATATTGGGTGGGGGACAGGCAGGGGGCAAGCTACTTGCCTTCCCACTGTCTGCTCTACTGCATCCCCACCACATGTAGTGGCGGGGGGGCAAATTTAAGACAATCCTCCAATAATTAGATGCTATGCATAACAAATACATAAACTTTCCATATTTGGAATCTAATTTTGGGGGATCATCTTAAATTTAAGATCATTTTGATTTGGGGTATATATGGAAAATGTAATTATCTTTCTCTTGGCAAAGGAAGATTGCAGGTAACCTTGACTTCTGTTTTTGTGAGATGTCTAAATTGTTTTTGAGACATTTCTCTTGCCATGTGCATTACGATGCAGTTGGTATAGTCACAAATGTCTTCTCCCTTTCATGGCTTCATATCGGACTTTTTGTGCTCCATGACGTTTTTTAAAATGGGTTTAATAATCTATTGGTAAAATAGAGATAAAAACGAGAAAAAAATTCACGATTTAGGGAAATATACCCTGTTTATGATCTTTTAAATATTTGTAAAGATAGCCCTGGGTATCTGAGCCCTCAAAATAGTTTATAATACAACAGCATGATTACATAATGATACTTTAGTTTTAAAACATATGATCTTTTTGTTTATGGGGAAGCATAATAGGCTTCTTTGAAATGCAATATCTTTTGCCCTTAACATGACTAATTTTAAACAAAAGGATGTGTAAACCATTAAATAAAAAGAAGCACAACAAAAAATAAAGTGCACATGAGTAACCAGCTATTGTTAAACTTTTGAGAGCTCCATAGTTAGTAATTTATCAAGTACTAAGCAATAAAATAGAGTTATCATTCTAAAAAACCTGTAACTGAGAAAAGAGTAGAAAAGTGGATGCAAATTTTATAAAGAAGGAAAAAAAAGAAGAATTTTTCCAAAATATTCAGTTTTCAGAAAATATCACAAATGATAGGTCTCAGGATACCAAGCCAGGTTTGATTGGTGCTATTTATTATCTTCAACATGAGAAAAATATGGAGTTTCATAGGTATAAAATAGGGCAGGATCTTGTACTTTCCTATAATACATGTTGTTAATGAGAACTCCTGTTTCAAACAGAAATAGATTACCCTATTCAAAGAAACCATAAGAACTGTCCTGAACATTTACAGTCTCTAATATAAAACTCAAACTGTCCAAGTTCTGCAATATCTGCCTAACTGTGTCCTTTGTAGCTTTCCTTTGTTTTACTTGTCCTCTGCACTTCCAGATTTCATCTGGAACTAGAAGTGCCATAGGAAAGCAAGAAAAGCTATTTTTGGAAATTCTAAACTCAGCTAGAAACAGAGCACTAAATATCTCATAAGGTAGCATGTTCTTACGAGAGCTTCAGCCTAGTTATGCAGAGCGATTCATGTAACTTCTGATGATGTTATGTATGTCAACTGAACCTGAATTCTGTTTCCTTTTAGTTTTCTCACCGGTAATTTCAGTATATCCTAAAACATGATATATGACTGCTTTTAGCACAAGCAATGTTACACACTGCTCATATTTTGGCAGATAAACAAGTATATTCTGGAGTCAGTCCTTATCCTAGATTTCATTCTGGAAAGCTCGTAAGATTTATGGTGGGAATAACTTGGGACAGCTGCATTCTTTCCACTGAGTTTTAACTACCATTTAGTCTGATCATTCCTAATTGTGAATCCATCCTATTCTAAGCTTCCTGAAAAGAAAAAAAAAGAGTTGTTATCCTCTAGGGGGAAAAAATCAGTGATTTATCTCAGTGATAAACACCATTTTAAAACATGAGAAGGTCAGCATATAATGAACAAATACTCAGACTTTATTATAATAAATATTTTCTTTACTGAAATGTTCTCTACCACTATACTTTAATGTCAGCAGTAGATAGAAAACTTTGAAAAGACTTTTGTTTCATCTTGTTCCCTAAGTATTTATATCCTACTGTGAAGAAACACTGACAGCAGAGCAGAGATGTTTTTATTCTTGATATAAAGGTGCCCTTAAAAGTGAATTTCTTTGAAAACTGTTCACAGAATCAAAATACTGGAACCTTGAGGCTATCTCTCTTTCTTAAAATTATTCTTGGTCAAATTGGATTTCCAAAATAAGTAGTTTACAATCCAGCTAGGATAAGTCGGTCATGAAAAGGGTGTCCAAATCCACCAATTTACATTGGTTTGGTCTGGCTTCATTTTTAAATATTTTGAGACAGAAAGTTGATGGCATGTGAATACTACAATTGACATAACAGTCTTAGGGTTTTTTCCTTCTGTCTTCCATATTGTATAGTATCAAAATGAAATGGTAATTAGACCCCATTTCTGACCTAAGTCAATTCAGAACAATAATAATTCACTTATATTTTACATATCATTTTGCAAAATGTAACATCCTCCAGTTTGCTCAATAGTTTTTCATTTTCACTTGCTATAGATCATTTAAATAGCATGACTTAAATCAATGGGCTAAGGTATTTCAAAATGGTGCTGCTAATGTGAGAGATTGTTATCATGCAGAAAGCTTACATGTGTAGTTTTGACATGCCCCGTGTCTCAAAGGACTGAGAATTGAATTAATCTGAATGCAAACTGACATTAATCTTTTAACATCAGTTTGTTTGTTTGTTGGTTGGTTTGTTCTTCTTTTTTCCTTTTACTTTCTGGTTTAGATCAACTCACATGTCATTTAGCATGCTGAAAGTCTGAACCTCTGACCACAAGAGTTCCACATTCCTACACTGGAGATTACTCTTGCTGTCTCACTCCCCCCTAGCTAAGAGAGGGTAAGACTGTTAGGCTTTAGGATAGAGTTGCATTACTTAAACATTTCAGTGACTTCCATTTGCTCATATGTTATGTATCCAGTGCATGGATAGATTCCAAGTATTCTTGATTACCAAATCCTTTTTGATTTCTCTTAGATAAACTTTCATTTTAGTCCCCTGTAACCAAAGGGGATCTTCCTGAAATGAATCATCATTTTCAGTATTAGCTTTCCTGGCAACTCACAGGTGCAGAGCAGAAAATGATACATACTGATATAAAAAGCATTTATAACCAAGGTATATTACACAATGATTATTCCAATTTAAAGCAAATCTTATATAAATGGAATCAAGATGTTTCTTGTACAGCTAGAAAATAAGAATTCCTTTTTTGTGAAAAAATTCAAAATTTTGATGTTTCAACAGTTGTTTTCACTCTACATTGAAAGCGAAACTAGACCTTTGGAATTTTTTCTGGGAGAAAGAGACCTCAGTTTAGCTCAGTAGTTATTTAGGGCATTTCCTTGGGAGATGAGAGAGACCAATACGCATTTGATTCAGAATCTCATTCATACTAGGTGAATGTCCTAATTATTGAAGTCTTGGTTTTTCAGGCCTTCTCCCTCTGATTTTGAAAAGAAATTTCCCCTGGGACCTGAAAAACCTTCCCTTTAAAAGTTTATGGAAATTAATATATTTCCTGAGAAGTTTTGATTTTGACAAATCACAGCATTTCCCAACAAAAACATTTCTTCCAATGGTACATGATCAGATTCCAAGTGAAAAAGCCCATTTTGGAGAAAATGTTCTTTGCCTTCTTGACCTACCACCTGTACATTTCAAATTGCAATTTACATTTTGGGGTTTTATAATTTGAGTATACACATTCCTTCTACTGCTTGGACTATGCTTCAAAAATGCACCTAAGAATGCCTATAGACATATCAACCTACAGTCCTGCCTACTGTAGGAGATAGATAGTATGTCCTTATAAGGAAAGTGCCAAATAGCTTCACCCAGAAAAGGACACCTGAGCAGACATAACAGAGGAATGGGAGTATTTGGTTCTTCTTGTAAATGTATTTGGCTGGCCTTTATTATTGCAGTAATAAACTCCAGAGCACAGGCTATTTGGGATATCATAGCATGCCATCTTCAAACATAACTGATGTGATGCAAAACCAAATCATAGTAGAATGGTATTAATAACTGATACAAACATCGTCTTACATGTGTCTTAATTACATGGCAATCATCTAACAGTTTCCACACAATACCAGAAATGCAATTCATGACCTTCAGCTGAAAAAAGCCTGGGTCTCTACCTGAAAAACTCTTCAAGCCCAGTTAATGTAAATAATTAATATACACTTAACCAAGTCTGATATTCTATCCTACAGAGGCTGTGTGTGAACACACAAGCCAGTACTGCACCATCTTTTCCCATCTAATTGGAATGTCTCTGCTTATACTACATGCCTTCTAATAGAATTACTAGAGCATTATAATTAGATATCTTGGGTTCAATTGAATTAATCTACAATTTTTTTCTTTGTTGTTTTAATCAGGCAGGAGTCATCATATGCTTCTAGTCTTTGTCAGGTGGATTATTATCTGGTTGTTCACTATAGTGTTCTTCCCTATATTTGTTAGGACATTCATGGTTTCTTGACAGACATCTCAAGTAAAATACTCACATGAGCCAATATGAAATATGTTTTCCTTTTTCAGGTCTGGATGTTGATGGAATATACAGAGTCAGCGGCAATCTGGCAACAATACAGAAGTTACGATTTGTTGTCAATCAGGGTAAGTGATTCCTTCACCCTGGTAATGTTTTGTTTAGTACTTAACTGTCTCAGATGACAATATTTCAGAATCTGCTGTATGCTGGTGGCAGAGAATGATGAGCTATATTTTGGGAAAGAGAGAAAAAGAAAGGTAGATATAGCAAACAAAAGCAAAGAATAAGTATTGGTTTAGGAGACAGAAAAAATAGAACATAAAATAGTGAAAACAGTAGGGAAACTGGAGATGAGAAGGAGAAAGAGAAAAATGAAACAAAATGACAAGATGACGTTAAAACATACAAACTGAGGATTTGGAATAAGGAAAAAAAAGTGAAAAAAAATTAAGTAAATTGAATATTGAATGTTAAACAAAATTTGAATAAGCAAGCCTGGAAACTAAAGGAACAATGGAGGAAAAAGGAAAAGACAGATGCTTTAAAAAGAAGAGAACAAAACATTAAGGCTAGGCTGAAATCCTGGCTTAGTGGAAGCCAACGGTAAGTTTGTTCAAGATGTCACCCAAGGGAGCAAGACCAGAATGATGAGCATTAAAGAGACACATAACATGAAAACTGAAAATACAAAGTTATAATTACATTTAAATTGAAAAGTAGTTTTAGTTTTCCACAAGTATAACCCAAGCCAGTGTAACGTTAATTGATACATAACATGTTACAGGTGTTTTAGCAATTATTGGTAGTTTGTAGGCAAACACTTCCCCAAACCATTCACGTGGTTACTATTCGTGGCAAGGTCTGAACATGCAGCATTAACATTATATAAGTAACTAGATGAATATCATTGACAACAATGGCCTCTCAAATATGGAGTCAAGAGTGATGCATTAAAATTTATTAAGGGCTTCCTGAATTAACCAACTCTATATTCTAATCTGCTAAACTCTTCCTTTTTCTTTTTTAATATTGTTTAGAGACCATTGTTAGACCAACAAAATGTTTAGGCTTTTAAAACACAACCACATTATGCTGACCTGGTGTGACCTGGTGTTGTACCATAACACAAATCTATTTAGAGCTGGAGATTGGGCTGCAGACTTAGAACCCCTGGTGTTGGAGGAAGTGAGAGTAGGCTCCTGCAGTGTGTTGAGTGAGTGGTGTAATAACCTTGAGTCACCAGTAAAACTACTGAATTTCTGCATCTACTGCATACAAGTTGATAGGACAAAATAAATTGAGGGAGTGAAAACTCCTAACTATTAAATTGTGAAGGACACTGTGCACCTCATATGTAGTAGGTGAATAAGGGAGCCAAGATATTACTGTCAAACACTTAAATGTGTTTCTGTCACTCAGCTAAGCTACTGCTTTTGGTTGGTAGCACACATTTCTAAAAATATATACTGTATTTGGTATGTATTCTAAAAATACATATTGGTAGTACTATTTCTAAAAATACATAATGGTTGTATCTACAGGTCCCATTTAAGTCAGTACCCAAATAACCACCTATTTTAGATGCATCACTTTATTAGAGCTCTTCCTGCTTAGTTCATTGCTATCACAGGGTTTTATTGACATTGTCACTGTTGTGCATGTTCTTCTACACCAAATAGAAGTTTCTCTGGTCAATCCTTATCATAATACAACACTGAACCCCTCTAATTCTGGCCTCAGCCATTCAGATTAGACTGATCCTGTGAAATTCTGAGGGCACTTCACTTTCATTGAAGGTACTGTATTTGCTTGAATATGATGGCTCCAAATATAAGATGATGCCCCAATAATTAGAGTCTATATATGGAAAATTTATAGATTTGTTATTTTCCAGGTATAGAATCTAATTATTAGAGGTTTTCTTGAATTTGTCCCCCTCCTGATGCTACAGCTGGGAAAATAAATCTGGGGGTCAGGTAGCCCCCATACCCTCTGCACTCCAACTTCTTCCCATTGCAGTTCCTTACCCCTCCTTACTGCCAGACCATGATCTCCCTAAGTACATGGAAGTCAGGGGCAAATCTGAAAAAACTAACCTTGAAATAAGCATATGAAAATTACTGCAGGCACATGTAGATGTAGTTCATCCAAAATTGATTCATTTTACCTTTTTGGAAACTGCTGAAAGTTTTACATGTACTCCACAAGCAGACTTCTAAGCAGCACTTTTATACCTACTTATATATAGTACAAATTGGGTGGTTGCATATGAAACATTTATTGCACAGTAAATGTTGTGTGTCTACATGTGCACCTCTGTTAGGCTGGAGTAAACTAATAAATTCCATAGCAGGATAGTACTTTTAAATACAAGTACTATCCTGCTGAGGAGTGAAAATCTCTGCAACAGCAGCATGTGTAGATGCTGTGGAGGGGCTGACTGTGGCAGAGGGTGTTTCAGTATGGGGGCTGCCTGCTGAGTAGCCCAGCACTGATGCACCCTCCTGCCCCAGCCAGCCCCGCCACAGCACGATGAGCCAGAGAGAGCAGCCCCAGGCTGGCAGATTGACATCCCCTCCCACCCCCTCACTCCCCAGTCCCTTGCCAGCTTCAAACCGGCTCAGGATGCTGCAGTCCCAGGCATGCATGAAAACATGCACCCAGGAGCAATAATTTGCTGAAGAGGTACTGTTACTTTTAGCATTTCATCTGCCTTGGAATTGGTTTGGATTCCCTGTTTATATCTACAGTTTGACTGGCAGCTGGGCTTAAAATTCATGAGAACCCATTGTGTGAATTTCTGTAAAATGTAACTTTAAGGAACTTGGAATAACTTGGTGGAATATGACAATTTATTAAAATGCTAATTTGTGGAGAGACATGCTGTTTGCCAAACATAAAAAGGAGGGAAGTCAAGCCTGGTAATAACATAGAAGACAGCAAAAATTACTTGAAAAGGAGGAGTCAAAGTGACAATTTCTTGGAAGGAGGGTTAATGTAACATGAAAGACAGGAAAAGAGAATGGCAATAAAAAAGTTCAAGCCTTAAACCCAAGGATGTACAGCTTGAATTGGCTCTGGAAGCAAAATAAAACTCAACATTAATTTCAGAGTTTACATGTGACCTCATTCTTTGAGACCTTATTCTGTGAAATAAAACTCTATCCTTTATGTAATAGCTGTACATAGCTTGCCAGCAAGATAGAAGACTGGAGGACATGCAAGGCTATACCTAAGGGCTAGAAATAAAAGGGAGCAGACTGAAGTTCAAACCCTGAGTTGATCTCTATGGAATGCTCTTCTGTTTTGCCAAAGAAGTGTATCCTTATAGTCCTAGCAAGTTCAGTAATTTTGCATTAGTGTAACTCCATGGACTTCACTGGGTGTTAACAGATAGCTAGGCTAACTCTTTTAGCCATTGTGTGGGTCTCTTGATTCAAGAGGGTAGTGCAAAATAATTTTATTGGGAACAGAAAAAACAAAACCAGAATTTCTTATCTTTAGTATCTCCCTAAAATCTTTGCTAAGTGGTAGAAAAATAGAGAGTGGTGGAGGAGGAAGGGAAGCCTTCCCTCAGTATATTAGACCTGTCTATTCTGTCTTGACATCCAAACATTAGATTGACATTATGTTATAGCACAAGCTTCCACCTCAATCAGAATGGCTAATTCTATGTAACTAGACAGGACATTATAGTGTGGCTGTTATTTGGTATCATAGATTTATCAACAACTCTGTATACTAATGTTAAAGTCAAATTTACAAAGATGCAACTAATGGATTGTCGGCATCATTTTGACATTAACCACATAGGGGACACTTAGAAATCGAATTCTCTATGAAGTGGCCAAAGGAAATTAAAAGAAAACACTAAAGTTCTGACAGGTTTTATTTCTTATCTATTGTTTTTGTTCATGTTTATTTTTGTTAATATTGCTGAACTATCCTAAAGGAGTAGGATGATACTGGCTAAAGAAGGGCCTAGATAAGTGACTTAGACATGTATTTTCCATTAAAAGATATTTGACAATCTCATCCATTAAAATCTTTAGGCTATGGCTAACCAAGTCATGGTTAGCCTTTGTTTAAGTACACATACATAAAAGTGTCAAGGAGTCTTTTCCATATCTCCTAAACCACAATTGCAATCCCTACTGGTTCTCCTAATAGGGTATGCCATGAAATCAAAAAGTCCATCTTTCCATTCTTTCAAAATTCAGTAAGTCTGATCAAAACGTTCACAATATTTCAGAGACGCAAGGAATAACTTTAAAGTGGCAGGGGGACATTATTTGTTTAAATAACAATCATCTTATTTCGTGCAAGGGAAGACTCTATGGACTGGGGTAAATCTATCTGTGTAAACTGTCCTGAGATTGCTATAAGTTGCTGTCGGTGACTGTGGAGCTATTGTGCTTGAGTCTCCTTGCATTAGATATCGTTCAAGTGGCATTACAACGAATACACATGGGGGGGGGAAGGGCATTGGGTTTTTAATTTAGCATCCTGATAACTACCCCTGATAATTAGCCAGCATTAACCTCAAACTGCTAAGACAAAGGTAATAATCTACCAATATTGGCTTGTTTAGTACAAAAGGTGCATCCTGTCTTTACTGTATAATGTCTATACCAGCATATCCCAAAAGTTCTGGGTTTCCTCCCTACAATAGAAAGCCAGATACTCTTGTACCTCCTGCTTCAGCTGCTGCTGTTTCTCTTCCCCCTTCTCCCCTCTGCCCCCCCCAACATTGATTGCCATCAGTTCTTCCTGCCAGCAGCAAGCAGCGGGGAGAGGAAGCAGTGGCAGTGGCTGAAGTAGGAGCACGAGTGTTCAGCTTCACCATGGTGGCGCCACAGATTGCTGCTATGACTTCCACAGGACACTGATGTTTCCTTATAACCTGCTCATTTACATATCTTCCAAAACTAAATCATGGGCTGATATTCCGGGTGTGAACAGAAGTAACTTGAAATTTTTCCAAGTAAAACAGGCTTGGAAACATTTCAGAAGGGGTTTGTTTTATATATGGGACACATACAGCCCCTGTGGTGTCTGCTCGCTGAAACATTCCTGAATTGCTGA